TAGCAAAAGAGTGGTTATGAAGTCCAGCGCCACCAAGTGACCTTCATTCTGTCCCATACTGCTGAGAATGAATCAAAGGCAGGACGCACATCCAAGATGGTGAACTGGTAGTCCTTGTTGACCTCGCCACCATCATAGTAATCAATCACGTACCTAACTTCTGTACCACAACAGTTGACGATCCAGTCCTGCCTGTCAAAAGGCAACTCATACCCCATCCATGACCGAATTCTTGCTCTTGGTGAATACTCTCTTGCTTTCCCTCTGAATCTGACCAATGATGGGCCACAAGGACATTCACGAGCATGAAGGGCTTCCCACTTCAAAATCTCCCTCCACGCCTGCTCATTATTCTGATTATGAATTCTAATGATATTATACATATCTTTCTGACTAATATCATCATCCTTCCATTTCCACCCTTTCCGTAGCACGGCATTCCAGAACACCTGTTCGGAAGGGTAAACCCATTTTTTCTCAGAGTCTGCTCTTGGAATAGCTGACTCCTCCCTGGCAGTAGACAGTGTGAAAGTCTGATCTGGGGATGGAGTCTGATTAGGTGGTGGCATCAGATTTGAAGGGTCAAAGTTCTCCTTATTCTTAGCTGCAGCGTTTATAATGGGGCATTCCATGAACTCATAGGCCCGATCTTGGTGGGCAGGCATGGAGTGTGCCTTGTTCTCACAGCTTGGACCAGATGCTGCTGCACTCTTTGGACAGCCTGCCCTTTCTCTTCTATGCATTGGGCGCCCTGAAGGCTGTGAAGCTGGTTGAGGGTCTGAAGCACTGGAGACTTGAACTGCAGCCACAGGACTAGATGCTGAGGAACCCATGGTTGGAATCACAGGGATGACTCCCAGTTTTCAACTTCCAAATGAGTCTCCCCTCAGATTATTCCGGGTGGCCTGAACCGCCCCAAACCGCCAAGCCAAATACGCTCGGCAGCACCAGGCAGTCGTCACCTCTGCCTCCCTCATTCCAGGTCCACAATTCTAGTTTATAAAAATTTGAGAATTTATTTTCTCCTTTCCTTCCTTCCCTCCCTTCCTTCATGTTTTTGAGACAGGGTCTCCTTGTAGCCTTAGCTGGCCTGGAACTCACTATGTAGATCAGGCTGGTCTTGAACTCACAGTGATCCGCCTGTCTCTGCCTCCCAAGTGCTGGGATTAAAGGCATGTGCCACCACTCCCAGAGAGAATAGAATTTATTTTCATTATATAAAGTAGTAGAAAATCAGTTCTCTTCTGCACAACAAAGATTAATGGTCGCGTTTGGTAAATTATGAATATTTTTCTTTTATGTTAACATGCTATGAACTCAGTTTGTAAAATACACATGGCTTCCAAAAAAGCCATTACTTTTTTCCAGATTATTGAAAAATAATGCAGTCATTTGATAAGTTTCCCATATCTGCAAGAGTCAAGGTTTAAGTTTTATTTAAACTGCCACTCATTGCTAGGCGTGGTGGGCACACCTTTAATCCTAGTACTCTGTGAAGGCAGAAGCAGGCAGATCTCTGTAAGTTCAAAGACAACCTGGTCAACTAGTGAGTTTCAGGTCAACAGGGCTGTACAGTGAGACACCACCCCCCAAATAAAAAAAAACTGCCCTCAATTTATAATTAGTGGAGGGGCTTACAAAACAGTCAGAGAGCACTTGCTGTATGCTGGCACTGGAGATAAAAAAATTAAGGTATATATCTGCCCTCAACATGATTAGCCCCCTGCCTTTTTTGTTAGAAAAAAATACATGAGACTTTCATGTGTTATGTGTACTATATAAAGTTCTGAGGCAATTCAGTTCACAATGAAGATATTGCTAAATATAAATTTAAATGCTGGATGCACAAGAAAATACTTGTCCTAGGATAGGAAAATACATTGATAAAATATAGTACTGCTTAAAAAGGGAAACCTCAGACCTAATGTTGTGTGAGTTTATATATGAAGATCAAAGAAATATATTCAAAATGTTCAATCTCTGAATGCTAGAATAACATGATCCTTCTCTGCCTGTTGGCACCTTCTAAGGTTTTATAATCCCTTATACGTGTGAAAAGACAAGGTATAAAACAAGCTGGAGATGTCTAAGAGAAGCAGAAGGTACCCCACTTAAGCTGGCAGCTGCTGTGCTGGGCAAAGCTGTTAGACGGGCAGGTTCCTGGTTTTCTCAGCTCCACCTGTGTTTACCTGGACCCAGACAACCAGAACACTTGCAACTGCAGAAAACACCAAAAGCTGGCTTTTCACACGTTCCTTAGCAACCTAGTTACTATAAAGTAGGTCAGCCATTCCCTGATCACTCCTGTTCTAAGACACAGGGTTCCATTCTAGTGATCTCACTCTCTCCCTCATATCTTTTTTACCGAAAGACATGTTTAAATCTCTCCCATCTAACAAAATTTTATATCAAAGTTTTCATTTACCAACTACCATATGATTTCTATACTCTGTGGGTTCAGAGTTCTCAAAGAAGCAAAAGTCTGCAGAACACATCATGTGCATTATCACCAATCAATACTATATCTTTAGAAACGACAGCTAGTGATTTCCTCATCAATAAATCCAAGAGATTTACTTGCTAAGCCTTTCTCCTGCCTCACTACCCAGGTACACTGACACGACCGGGCCTTCCCTTCCTCCTTCCCATTTTCATTCTTCTTACCCTCCTCTGGCAGCCCCGCCTCAGTTTCCTGGCCCTGTCGCTACATCCTCTACACCGAACAGTTAAATTCTTCAAAACTGTCCTCGAGCTCCTCTTTCCCAAGGCACTCCAAACCAGAGTCTGGTTTATTCCATGACTTCATTTACTTTCTACAGGCGATCAACACAGCACTTCCAGTCTCAATCTTCTGAGGGGCTGCACCTATGCTTCCAATCACCTTTTGACAGTCTCCACTGGAATTCTTAGAACATACCATGTTTCAAACACAGTATCCCCAAGCTTTCTTCTCTCTCCTCTCCCCTCC